AGTAGTAGTAAAATATAACCAAATTATAACATTTTGGTTCCAGCATGTGCGTGGCATTGGACCAAGAGCACCCAAACTTATGGAACATGTCTGGTCCTTTGCCCGAGTCATTCTCTTAATGGTAACGCAGGACGAGGTTGAGCAATCCAAACTTATGGAACATGCTCAGACCCCCTCGTTCAAAACCAAAAGAAACTGAGAAAACCCAAAATAAGCAAGGCAACCAAGCCACCTAATCTTATTGGACATTGCTTGGCCCCTAAAAAGTCGACCACAGACAGCCCTCGCAAGTCAGAGCAACCGGACCACCCAAACTTATGGAACGTGTCTGGTCCTCCAAGCAACTCAAAAATAAACATAGCACTGGGTCTCCCCAAACTTATGGAGACTTTCCCAGCCTTTGGTTGACCCAGGCCAAGCACAAGCAATACAGCCTTCCTCCCATCCTTCCCCCTAGATGCAATTCCTTTCCACAATGTACTTTCAGTCACACAACAAAACTGAAACTGACATTACACATGCATTCCTTTACTTAAGTCTGGTTTAAGTCCTGAAAGTCAAACTAAAAATCAAAGTAAGGGTGCACGCAATATACTTAGTCAAACATAGCAAGGAGTACGAATACAAATTATAACTGGGTTTATAAAAGGAGGATGAAACCGTTACCTCTCAGTTCCCTGCCTCCAGAACTCCTGAGTTCCGGCAGAGCTCCCACAATCGATGGGTTGACTCCCCACAGAGTTTTGCTAAGGTCCTACGGGTTGCAATCCCGCCTGCCGCCTTCCTCTCGTAACCTCAGAGTAGACTTAGAGTAAGAAGGGCAGAAAGAGGGTTTTCAGCCTCTCGAGATACAAGAGAGGGACTAACTCAACTCGCAGGAGAGGGACTTGATATCTTCATGCCCCTGAGGACCCTGCAATGGTGGCCAAAATGCTCAACAGCTTGGTTAAGACTAAAGTCAACTCACCAACTGCTGCCTCTCTAACGCCCCTCCGAATCACAATAAAGACCCCTCTTGCCGAAATCCCAAATGCCGCCTTCAGACTGTCAACCCCTACTCCAAATGAGATGCCGCTACCCTGCAACAACTATATGTTTGCTTCTCAAGGAACTAGCAGCAGTTAGCATGAGCAGCAATACAAAATTACATGAGCCCGTGACATAGCAGCAACGATTTTTGGCTAGCAACCTGCCCTAACGGAACAACGACTTAGTTAGTAGAGGCTCTTGCAACGGCACCCCAAAGTGGTCGCCGCAGTCTACTGTAGTTAAAAAACAATGAGCAGCGCATGGTAGTAACATCTCCTGCCTGACTGGTCTCTCAACCAATACACAGCTCTTGCACCCTGATGCTCAACCCTGTCAGCAATGCCAACCTCAGCAACTCTTCACCTTGTGACACAGTCAACTGCAGCTGCCCCCTCTCGGCCTCAGTCAGATCTTCAGTCAGCGGCGACTAGCAGCAACAACGTCGGATGCCCCGCACCAAAACAGATATGATGTCCCACAACTACAATAACAACCCGCTATTACAACAACCGTACACCGTCCGAGCATCGACCAACATTAACCCAAAAAAAGCGACAGATCCTTCTCATGCTGGCCTTTACGAGGAGTAGGTACGTGCTTCGATCCCTTATCCTCCTCTTTTGTCAAAGCTCTCCTTTTCCTCATCCTTCTTTCTCTCCCACGTCCCTACTTTATTTCTTTGTCTCTCACCCAATCTCGGTCATTTTCTGCCAACGCCTGTTTCCACTCTCCTCTGCTTTTAGCTATCCCATTCACGCGCAGCTCCTATCACCTCTTGCTCCGTGAAACTGACCTCTTGCTACCTTCGAGTCACGCGTAAGAGCAGATGGAGGGAGTTCACCTTCTTCAGCAAGTTCAGACAGGATTTTCGGTCGAAAGTGGGTAGGTGCGACATACAACGGCGAGCTCGGCCTCTTCTGATCGAAGCAATTTTGTCGTCGGGCATAGCTCTGGACATGCCGACTCGATCGACGGCCTGAAAGATGTTCGCTCTATAGGCTAAGTTACGGCATCAGGCACAATCATGCGAGCTCTGAAAGCAAACCTCCAGATCGTACAGATCACAATTGGGAGTTGAATGCCCTACGGATGAACGACCTTATCTCGCGATTAACCGAATGTGTAAATTGAGAGTGAACCTTCCCCCACAACCTAGGTAAGCTCACTTCCCTTTTTACAGCCTCTTCCTCGCGTAGCCCCTCACCTTGCACCGCTGAATCCGTCACTCTAGCTCAGGATCCTATGAGTGTGTTCGCTAGTGCAAAATGAGAATGAATCTTCCACTGGAACAAGGAAAGATACATCCCACTTATTTACCCGCGGAGCTCTTAACCACCTGACTGCCAAAGCGATGCCCAAACGTGGAATCTGTCGATGCTATCATGCTTGCCGTAGTCCAAACACCTCCTCTTTACACTTTACCCCGCCCGATTCTATAAAGAATCGGGGAAGGTATCAGTCCCTCCTCCTGCCATGCCCGCTCTCCTCGACATCTCTTTGTTGCTCTTTCCCTTACTAACTTTTATTCTACTGACTTTCTGCTATTTCTGACTCTGGAATTGGGGTCCCCCGGGATGAAAACCCCCGGTTTGAACCCTCCGTCGCCCTTTTCATCAAGAAACGGGCGAGATTAACAATCTCTTCCTCATTCCCTCCTCGTCCTTCGCCATCTCCGCGCACCCTCTTCTCTACTAATCTCTCTTTACACTAATCCTTTCGTCAATCTAACGTTTCCAGTAGATTCGCCCCACCAGAAACCCCCTATCTACTACTTTTCCCCACCCTAATTTGTCGAGGATCCGGTGTGATAATCAGTTATAGCTCCCGCCATAGCTACTTCTTCCATACTCCACATGCATCCGGCGTGATTTCGCGTCCGGATTCATTCTCTTCGCTCAATTGTTTTCCCCGACTGTCTTTCCCCTCTGTCTAGTCTCTTCGCCGTTGCTCCGCTGCCGGTCTCGTCCGCTGCTGTTAGCACAACGCCTTAAATAGTCGCAATGAACCGTCCTTGCAGCCCGACAGTCCCAGTCATTCCACTTTCACTGCCTCATCTCCTTGTTTGTCCGCTCGCTCTTCCGATCAGTGCTGCTTTTTCCCGACAACGTCCAATTGCGCAGCGTCCATTTTCATGATGGCCAGCCAGTGGTTCAACAGTCCCGGCCACCCTAGAGTCCAGGGTGACCTGCTACTGGGTGGCTCGAAGGTCTTTCGCCCCTATACCCAGTCCAACGCACGGTTCACTCAGCAGTACCGCTGCTACTTCTACCACAGCGCCCCTGATTCGTGCCTTAGCCTGTCCGTTCGCCTCTTTTGGGTCCCAAAGGGCATGCTCACACTTGAACCTCTCACAGCTGGTCGTGGGTGGGCGGACAGTGCCCTGCGAACGTGCCACCTTCCCGTCAGACAATGTCTTTCGCTTGGATCGGACTGGCCATGGGCGCTTGCACCTTAGACCTAAAGGCAGGGGCAAAGCCCCAGCTCCACCTCGGTAAACAAGTAAAAATAAAAATAAATAGTAGTATTTCCCTCGTGCCGTATCGCCCCCACCAGCGGAGCCCAAACTTAAACCTGCATTACAACAGTTCCCAAGTACACCAGCTGCGCTAATCCCGTCGGGTTTCACCGCGGGTCTCGGAACCGATCTCCGACCAAAGGTATAGATAAAAATAAAGACAATAATAATTTATAATTTTTTTTGAAAAAAATAAAGATAAACCGGGGAAAACGATGAATAAACAAAAGACGGTTGCTGCCGCCGACTTTGAAGCCTCACACCCCTAGGCTTCATAGGGCGACACCTCACAGTCGACGCGCCACGCGTGCGCTTACTCGTACAAGAACTCTAATTCTTTCCCGCATGCGCGGCGTTAACTGTGGACGAAGCCGCTAGTCGGCGCGACTTGCAAAAACACGCCAAATACCCTTGTAAGCAGGGATGTAAACCCGGTCCCACCGGGGGTCCACCCCCAACCGGAACCGGGTCGGTGGGACCGGCCGGTCAACCGGGCCAGTTGCCCTCCAATCGGATATAGCGCATAGGCGAATACTGGCCGATTCAATTTTTTGGGGGCCACGAGGCCACCACAACCCGCGTGGGGGCCTCCTGGCCCTAAAAAAATTTGTTTCAGAGTTGGGCCAGGTCTTGGGTTCGAAACCCCCTGAGCCCCACAATTAGAGTGAAAGCGGGGGAGGGTCTTGTTCACATCGAACTTCACAGTGTGGGATCACCAATCCTTCCCATCGAAGTCATCAAAGCTGTCAGGGTTCCCCGGGCCTTGAGAGTTGCCTGGTTATGGGCACCGCAGCAACTCATGGCTCGCCAAACTCACCAGACCGCATCCCCTTTGTAACTTACATACACATGTGGTATTGTGGGGAAGTGTTATGAGTGAATATTTCATGTAATTTTCTGACTTGCCAGTGGAATAGGAACCGGGCTAATGCTCCCCAGAATGCACATGGAGCAGGGCCCATAAGGGCCTGTTAAAAAAAAAAAACAAGAAGACTCAGAAATCTCAGCAATCGGACAAAAAAAGACAGCATTCTCACAAAAACGACAGCATTCTCTCAGGAACCTGCAGAATTCTCAGACTGCAATTGTGTGGGTCATTCCAATACAGAAAATTTAATCCACTGTCTCTTCAAGGAAGCCAGGAAAAGGAAGAAAAAAACTCAGAATGGTGCAAAGAGCAGCTGGGAGCCCTGGCCCTTACAAATTGCAATTCATCAAGCATATGTTGCGTGGGTCATTCCAGTACAGGAAATTTTAATCCACTGTCTCATCCTCTTCAAGGAAGACCAGAAAAAGGGTAAAAAAGTTAAAAAACTCAGAACGGTGAAACGAACAGCCAGGAGGCCTGGCCCTTACAAATTCCAATTTCCAATGCATTAAGCAGTAACAAGCACACATTGGGAGCAAGAGAGCAAGAGTCGTATTGCTTTTGGACTTTTTGCTTCGTTTTCTTTACCTTCCGAGGGGCTTCTGACCTATCTGGACCATTGCTCGGTTTTTTGCATTGCCGACGTTGGCTTCTCCTTCCATTTCGCCCTCGGTTAGCCCCACAGCGAGGAGATCCAACCCCTTTCTGATACGAGGGAAGCTGTTTTGAGTATGCCCACAGACCTCCTGCCATAACCCTCTGCAGATTGAGTCTGTCAGGATGGTATCCTGTGCCAAAATCTACACGGCCAGTTAGAGTATTGTTTGTAGCCTCTCTAGTGTCCTGCTGCAGAGCATGATAAGCAGCACGGTCTGCAACACCCATCAGCTTCTG